AAAAAAAAAAAAAAAAAAAAAAAAAGCCAGCCAAGGAGAAAAGCCTATTTGCATGTGCATAACCAGGCCTGCCAGGCCAGCCTCAGCCAGGGGCTGCCTTGCATACAGATGGGCCACCTCCCACCTCAACCACTGGAGTCCTCCCAGGGCACCCAGCCGGGCTGCAACTGCCACCAGCTCCCCAGAAAGGACGGTAGGGCCACTGTCCCCACTAGCTCATCAGCAAATGTGTCCACACAAGGGGCTTGGATGCAAAATTCAGGTGAGCAGTCCAAACAGCCAGCAGTTTTGAAGAGGAAACCAAGGTCTGTTGGGTGAACCCCCAAGGACTGTACAGCAGGCAAAACTTACTGTGTGTAGATCCTGACCACACTCAACCTTGTGTAGATAATGGGGCACTGTGGGTTCTGTCCACCTTACAGAAGAGGCACAGAGTGGGGCTTGGCCAGTTAATAGCTTGCCCAATATACATGGAGGAGCTGAGATTCAGACTGAAGTCAGCCTCGGCCTCTGGGTAATGGGGTTATCAGCCATCTGCTCAATGGTCACCGATAAGGAAGTGACACTTCCCAGCATGGGAGAAAGAGGGCAAACCTGGGTCAGGAATCAAGAATAGGGAGTCACCAGTGTCCCCTGATTAACAGTAACAGCAAACATGACAACAGGCTAAAAGCACAACAGTTTTAGACCCATACCCTGAACGGGAGATGATCCCGGCAGCAAACCCACCCAGGACAGACACTGCCAGTCAGCCACCTTCCCAGGCAAGGCTAGGAGGCCCTCTAAGCCTTGCTTAGAGGGACAATACTGCTTCCCCAGGGTTCCTGGGAGGAGCTAAGACCAAGCATAGAAGGCGCAGGCCTGGTGTGTGACCCCACTTTAGACACCACCCAGACCCGTTATCTCCTTCAGCTCAGGGGCAATCTTTGCTCAACTTAAAGCTACACGTCTCAGGATAGAAAAGCCTGCTTTCACTAGGCAAGGTGGCTCATGCCTCTAATCACAGCTACTCGGGAGGCTGAGCTGGGAGGATCACTTAAGCCTGGGAGGCTGAGGCTGTAGTGAGCCATGAGTGTGCCACTGTACTCCAGCCTGTGTGACAGAGTGACACCCTAGTTCGAAAAAAAAGGAAAAGCTCAGTTTTCAAGAGAAGGACCTTTCCTGGTTCCAAGCATTCTGTTTATATTAGTGGGACAACCTCTCAAGGCCACACGTGGCTTTAAGAAACAAAACTGCATAAGAAGAATTCCTTCTGTAACTGAAATTAATAATAATAATGCTGAATTTTCATTTTACCCCAAAGCAAAGGTTTGCTGCCACATCTGCAGCAGTCCTGTGCTAAGCGGACCTGGGAGAGGATGGGTTCTGTGGAAAACCCTATACTTCACCCCCCACTGGCCCCCAGTGGGGCAGAAAACTCTGTCCAGCCTGGTCCTCCACTCCTGCATTATTCACTGTCGCAGCTGCCACGCTGAGCCAGGCTGAGCCAGATCAGGTGCATCTCCTGGCCCAAAACACAACAGAGCCTTTCCTGCAAGTAGGCTCTGAACACTCCAGCCCTCCAGTGTCCTGCAGAGAGGCACTCTAGCCAAGTGTCATTGATGACGCAGCTAAAAACCAGAAACATTTCATTTTCCAGCCATGAGACTGCAGCAATTTGCTCCTTTGTACTGCACTTGGGGAAACTGAGGCCCAGATAACTGACCCTTCAAAAGGATGGTGAGGTCAAAGAGACTGAGGTGCTCTAAACAGCTCCAACAAATTAAACCACCAGAACTTGCCCTAGTCACACTGGCCTGAAACAGCCCGCAGTGGGAGGTGGGGGTGGATACAGTGTTACAAAGAGAAACCCGAGTTGTAGCCATAGATTGCTAATCAGTAACAAAATATCCCTCTAAACCCAGTCCTGCCCTGAACCTACAGACCCAGGATGGTAAATAAAGGAAAAATATGCTGCACTGCCCCCTGCCCCAGCTCCACGGGTACGGTTCCCACCCCAGCCCCCACCCCAACACGCCTGCAGAGGCCACTTGGCCACCAAACCAAGGAGAAAACAGCCCTCCCCAGCTCAGGCTGAGGGGTTCTGGGGAGGGAAGAGACTTTCTCTGAATTAGGAAAGGCTTTAAAAGGAACCAGAAAGGACTGTTGATTCTCCATCATCAGGCAAAAAGTTCAGGCAGCTGCAACTACCACCAGAACTAGAAGCCAAGCTACCAAAAGTGTGAATACCAGGGAGGCCCCAGATCCTCCGCAGGGACCAGAAAGCCCGCAGGCAGGCAGCAGCAGGACTGGGCAGGGGGCTGGGAGGGGGCGCAGGCGGCAGGATCCCACAGCCCCAAGCTGGGGCTACCCTCTGCACTGGGCGCAGCAGGAACATGGGCATGGAAGACAGCCGCTGAGTTTTCCAGAGACCAAAGGTCCTCCCACCCACACCCTGGTCGCAGACGACCACGGCACTTCCTGTAAGGCGATCAACAGTTTACAAATCCCTTCAGAAGGTTTATCTCCGCCTCAAACCCATGAGGCAGAGGTCATCATCTCCATTTTACAGACAAAGAAACTGAGGCACGCAGAGGAGAAAAGTTAGGATCCGTTCCAAATACATCTCCCTAGGAAAAGTCTTAGAGCCTTGGCTGAGAAAGGTCCTGGGACCAGAAGGGCAGAATTTATGGCAAACCAGAAAGGTTCTTTGCCTCAGGCCTCTTCCCAGGTGCCTCTGGGTCTCAAGGCGGCTGCCTGTGCTCCTTCCCAATCCCCACGCCTTACTGCAGAACTCCAGCCACTGCGCACACGTGGACACTGTTTGGTTTGGAGGACACCTGTTGCTGCAAGAGGGGAAATTCACTTGCGCTCAAGGGGCCTTGTATTCTTTTCTGTTTAGAACTTTCCGCTGCTGGGCAAGGATTTCTAAGGCTGGGATGAGGCGCCCACCGCCAGCCCAGCAGTGCCAGACGCTAATTTTGGCAACTACGCCTGAGGGAAATTTTACTGGGACCGGACCGGCTGCAGGTTCTGAGCTGGACAGAAACACGCTTCACCACTGGAATGGCCCACCACCGCCCAAAGCCGAACTTCGGGTGGGTGCGGGATCCCCTGGCCCAGGATCCATGACAGCTGGAGAAGGGGTCTGGAGTGGCGGCTGCACGAGTGGGACGGCCGGGGACCACATCCTCTCGTCACGCCTGGGCCCAGCCTTCATCTCAGGCTGGCGAAGGGGCTGCAGCCCGGGAAACCCGCGCCGCCCGGCCCCTGCAGTCCTTACCGTGCAGGCCGTTGGGGATGCTGCGGTGGTGCGGCGGCGCCGACAGGTCGTCCAGGGACCGACGTGTGGCTCCTGCCTTGCCGTCGGGGGCCTTGTGCGGCCCGGGGGGCAGCAGCGGGGGTGGGACGTGGTGGTGGTGGTCCGGGCTGCCGCCGCTGCCCGCACTGGACGTACTGCTGCCGTCGCCCACGTCGCGGGCCCCCGCGCCCGGCGCGCCACCAGCCAGGGGCCCGCTCAGGCTGGCCTGGCTGTCGATGGAGCTGCGGGAGCCGGCGCCGCCGCCGCCGCTCCCTCCGCCGCCCGCACCCCCCGCCGCCGCCAGTGCCGCGCGCTCCTCGTCCAGCAGCAGCACCAGTTCCTTGAGCTCCAGGTTCTCGCGCAGCAGGGCCTCCTGGCGCGCTTCGAGCTCGCGCAGCTTCTGCTGCGAGCGGGCCACCTCGTGCCACACGGCGCCGGCCGCGTGGCGCCCGAAGCGCTGCCACTCGCGCGCCAGCTTGCGCCCCTTCTGCCGGTCGTCGTCGAGGAAGCAACAGAGCTCGCGCAGCTCCTGGTTGTCGTCCTGCAGCCGCTGGTTCACGTCCTTGAGGCCGCGGATCTCCAGCAGGTGTTGCTGCAGCCGCCGGTTCACGTCGCGCATCAGGCCGCCGTGCTCCAGCATGAGGCCCACCTTCTCGCCCTCCGCGCGCCGCAGCCGCCGCGCCAGCTCCTCCTTGCTCCAGCGCAGCAGCTCCTCGTCCGGCACCTGGCTCAGCTCCTCCGACGCCGCCGCCGCCGTCGCTGCGGGCTTCGCCATGGCGGGGCCGTCACCGCGGCATCGCCCTCGCCCTCGCCCGGCCGGCGCTCCCAGCGCCGGGGCTCCGCTGGGCCGGTCCGCGTGCGGGCGGGGGGCGGCCGGGGGCGCGTGCGGCCCGCCCCACGCCGCCTCGCGCGCCCTCTCGCCGCGCCCGCCGGGGCTGCCCGGGATCCCGCGCGCCTCGGGGCTGAGCGAGCGGAGGCGGCTGCTGCGTCGGCGGCCAAGGTGCCGGGCTCTCTCCCCGCTGTGGAGAGGCAGGCGGAGGCCCGCCCCCGGCCCCGCTCCCGGAGGCCCCGCCGCCCCGCCCACTGCGGGCGGGGAGTGGGCGGGGATCCAAGGCCCGACCCCGCCCCCGAGGGCGACTGGGGAGCCGAGGAGCGGCCCCCGCCGTCCCTCCGCGGGGTGCGCCCGCCCGGCCGGAGCCCTCTCAGAGGCGCGTTCCGGCTGCGGTCCCGCCCTCCAGCCCGTGCGATTGGGCCGCTCCGGGGGTGTGCGGGAGGGGCGGGGCGCGCGCGGGGGAGTCGCGGCAGTGGTACGGTCCATCCGCGGGGTTTCCGACCCCCGCCCGCAGCCGGCTCCCGGCGGTTCAAGTTTCTGCGCCCGGAGGACGCGGCCTTGGCCAATCCCAGGGCTACAGGGCGCTTTTAAAATGCAGGTACGGCTGCAGGGAGGGGGACGGTGGGAAAGGTAGGGCCGGGCTTCCCTTAAAGGCGACGCGCGGAAATGGCAGTCGAGCCCCCTTCCCCGGCCCGCGTCCCCCGCCCTCCTCCCTTTCCCCAGATAAACAAATACCCATGATCTGGGCGACGGCGCCCCTTCCCCCTCCCGGGGGCACCAGAGTTCAGGGCAGCCTGAGACACCGCGAACAATAGGACTGTGACTGGGGGGTCGCTCTCCCCCGCGGCAGGACGGCTCTTTGTCCCCTTCCCTGCCCCCAGGCTCCTCCGCCCCCGTCTCCACCCGGGTCCCCTGCCGGAGCGCGCGGCGGGGCTGCGTCTCCACTCCCAGCCCAGGGCTGAGCCGACCTCCGGCGTCCTCGCCCCGACAGGGCCAGGGCCTTGCCAGCCGCGTCCCGCAGCTCGGTGTCCGTACTCTCTGCCCCGATGGGGCGAGGGCTCCGGGAACCTCCACGTGCCCGAAGCGGCGCTCGGAGCCCCACTCCCCCTCCTCCCACTCGACCGCTAAATCCCTGGGATTCGGGAGATAATCTGCGATTCGCGGGGTGGAAACCACTGAGAAGGGTGGGAAGGTCTCCCACCGGGGCCTGAAAGCTGGGATCCGGGGGCGCCGAGCCGGCGTCAGAACTCCCTCCCCACCGGCGGCCTCGCCGGACCCCCGGGCTTCCCACTGCCTGTAAGTCTGTGTTGTTATCCTCTGGTCCCCAAAGCGCTTTTACGGCGCGTCTGCCGCCAGCGGGCTGAGGGGGGTGTCCCTCCCCCGGAACCTGCAACGAGATCAAACCCGCGCACGCGACAGTGAGCGGCCCACGGCCTGGAGCGCGCGCCCGCGCAGCAGCTGATGCCCCATTTACAGTTGCTAAGCCGTTCATTCAGCTGTGTACTCGACGCCTACTCGCGCGGGGCCTGCTCCAGCCCCGGGGGATTCTGCAGGGCTCGAACAGCAGAGGCCACTGCCCTCTGCGGGGAACTTGGCGTTCTGGGAGCAGGAGGGGGAGAAGACAGAGGAACTAGATCACGAGGAGACTGCCTTATGTGTTGTGCGGGGCATTCAGTCGAACTGCTGTCACAGAAAACATAATCAGTTACTTTAGATCCCGCGGTCAGGGAGGGATTCAGGAGGCACAGCTAAGCTGAAGTGTGATTGGGAAGGTACAAAGATAAGGGGAAAGGGAAGCCAGGCGGCGCAACAGCCGTGCAAGGCCCTAGGGCTGGCCTGTTAGGGGCCTGTTCCAGGGGGCCAATGGGTCTGGGGGTGGGCCAGGGAAGAGGCGTGAGAGATGAGGTCAGAGGTCATAGGGGCCAGATCATGATTCCAAGGCATGCTGAGGAGGCAGTGGGGGTTTTAGCAGAGAAGCAACATGACCTGGTTTATCTTTTTTTTTTTTGTTTTTTTGTTTTTTGGAGATGGAGTCTTGCTCTGTCCCCAGGCTGGAGTGTAATGGCAAGATCCCCGCTCACTGCAACCTCTGCCTCCTGAGTTCAAACGATTCTCCTGCCTCAGCCTTCCCAGTAGCTGGGACTACAGGTGCCCGCTACCAGGCCTGGCTAATTTTTAGTAGAGATGGGGTTTCACCATACTGACTAGGCTGGTCTTTTAACTCCTGACCTTGTGATCCTCCTGCCTGGGCCTCCCAAAGTAGTGGGATTACAGGCATGAGCCACCGCGCCCGGCCTAGTTTACCTTTTAAGAGGCTCACCCTGGCCCGTGTGTGGAGAATAGATGGGGGGAGTACACAGAGAGGTCCAGATTCAATATCTCATCTCCCACCTGCTTGCTGCTCGCCCCTCTCCATACAGATGGTCAGGAGAGGGTGGTGGGGAGAGGATGGGCAGAGCACAGCTTCCAGGGTTAAACCCAGAGGTGCTGAGGGTCTCCCAGGCTCTGCCCAAGTGAGCCAGTCCCTGAGGGGAGGGGACATCCTCCCCTCTGAGGCACTGCTCTGCTGGCCCAGCACAGCTCAGTTTGGGTTTAGAAAGGGAGGGACTTTCAGCTTCTGCGGTGGGGAGCCCAGGGTCTGTCTTTACCCCCAGGAAGCCACATTAACTTCAAGGAGCTCCTTGCAGGCCCCCTGCAGAATGAAACCTGTACACAGAGTTGCTCCTGGGAGATCGAAGGGTAAACGCTGAGTACACCGCAGGAAAAACCCACTGGCTCACCAGGAAAGTTGCTGAGAGAGCACTGTCCCTGGTGAGAAGCCCCTCCCCATCCGTGCTTGGCCCCAGGTGGTTCCTGGAGCTTCTTATCTCTGCCCCCTGACCCTCCAGGGCTGGCAGCTTCCGCTGAACTTCCAAGAAAAAAACGAAGCCTCTATCTAGATGGGGTTTGTTTGCATCATCTACACACTGTGTGGACCAAGGATCAAGATTCCCCTGTGGAGTCTGATAGCTTTGCTTACATCCTCAGGGTAGAACAAAGACAAGGTGCTAGTGGTGGTGTCACTGGGTGGCTTAAGGGGGGGTCTCTCTGCTTCCTACACCAGGGCTGGGAATTCTTGGGCAGCACAGCATGGGACAGAGGAGGTGAGAGGCCCAGGGCTGAAACAGGGTCCTGAAGGCCCAGGCCAGAGCCCCCTCCCTGAGGGCTCATATCTCAGGGTCCAGCAGTGGGTGCCACGCCCCCTAGAGTACTCACAGCCCAACAGAACCAGGATCCCAAAATATCATGTGACTGCCTTTTCTTTTCTTTTTTCTTTTTTTTTTTTTTTGAGACAGGGTCTCACTCTGTCTCTCTGGCTGGAGTGCAGTGGCACAATCTGGCTCAGTGCAGCCTCAGCCTCCAGGCTCAAGAGATCCTCCCGCCTCAGCCTCCTGAGTAGCTAGGATCACCACTATGCCTGGCTAATTCCACCCCCCCCACACACACACACACACCCCACCCCCGTAGAGACAGGATCTCACTATGTTTCCCAGGCTGGTCTCAAACTCCTGGGCACACGCGATCCCAACCTCCTGCCTCAATGACTTTGCTTTTTAAGCCCCTTGGTCATGACAACTCTGCTTTGTTATGAAAACAGTAAAAGCAAATCATGGTGCTCTCACACAGTCATACTCTAGATGCCCAGGAAAAGTCGTTGTGAGTCTTTTAAAAAATAAAGGTGCCTCACCAACATTCCCCCCATACCCCTTTTTTAAAGAATCTCTCAGGATGTGTGTGTTCATTTAGAGCCACATGCATTTGTGAGAGCCAGCTGGGGCTGAGACCAGGTACGCTAACACGTGGTAGATGCTAACACGTGGTAGACAAAATACTCCAAAACCTAGGGTCCGTAGGGGGCTGCTGGTGCAAGCTGGTGACAAGCAGAGTGTGCCCCCCGCTTTCAGTGGGAATAGGCTTCTTTATTATTTTCTGTGGCTGGGGCTCTGAGCTCCAGCCCCAGAGGCAGTACCATTTGGTGTTTGCTGAGTGAATGTCAGACCTCTCAGTGTATGACAGATTGAATTTGAGGCCTTCATTTTGAAGGTGAGGAAAACAGAGCCCTGGAAGGGAGATGCCTGGCCCAAGATCACTTTCATTCATTAGCACACTGAACATAGAGGAAATCTATGAGTATATATGCATTTATGCACAAACACATTTAAATTGGCATGTATATAGGCATTGCAATGCATTGTGGTAAGTACTGCAAACGAGAATGGGCAGGAACACATCATTACAGAGTATCTCAGGCACTGGGAGTAGCTTCCTAGAGGAGATGAATCTTGAAGGCGTTTGTCATATTGTGGGTGGGGAGGACGCTCAGGTGGAGGAAACAGTACAAGCAAAGGCCTAGAGGTGAGCAGGTGAGGGGTGTGGAGAGACGCAGTCACACATCTGGGGTGTCCAGGAGGGAACAGCAGGGCAGGGTAAGTCAGGAAGAGGTTGAGCGATGGATCTGAGTGGAGAAGGGCCTTGTAAGCCTCAGAAGGAAGCTAGGCCTTTCCCTGGGGGCTCTGATAGCCAATAATAATAGCGATGACAACAGCAATGACCAACACCACCTGCCACTTATCCTGGACCCAGTAAATGCCAAGGATTCTAACCTGCCCTCTTTGGAGGGTTATCTTATACCTATGTAAAGTGTCATTAGCCCTTCAAGGATTGAACGTGGGTTCTTGTCGACTGGTTGTTTGCCTCCACAAAGCTCAGGTCATTGGGCGTGAATTTACAGGCAGTGTTCAGAGGCTTGTGGACACTCACGGACTCTGGTGTGGTCAACAGAGTGTTTGGTGGTAGCTGAATCTGTTTTGGGACAGTGAGGGGATAGCAGCTGGTCACATCTGGGCCAGACTATGAGGTATCATCCTGAAAGGCTACCCAGCAGCAAGAAGCCAAGGTCCACTGAAAAGTGGTTAAGTGTCACTAATATGGACAGCGTTGACTGTGCCCTTTCTAGGTACCCAGCATGTGCTAGAGTTTCACAGATTGCCTCACTGAATCCTCACTGATGCAGTAAGAACGCTCTGTTCCCATTTTACAGAGTAGGAAACTGAGGCTCACACAGGCTAAGTCACTTGCCCAAGGTCACGTGGCTAGCAAGTGGCTGAACCAGGATTTGAACCCAGAACCATATGAGCTCGGGAGCATACCTGACCCCATAGACTACTC